AGATACAAGATCAGAGCAGAGTCAGGGCTCTCTGACTTTCTTCCTTCCAGATCTTTCACTGACATCCTTTTGGGAGACAAGAATTCCTGCTTGGTTTTGAAACAGACGATGCTCTTGATTGGATGGTGTCACCATTTTTAAAGAGCAGGTGGTGTTTTGGTTGCAGCAAAACTACGTATACTCTTTCTGGTTTCTACAAGCAAGTAAACAGTGTTAAAAAAAGAAACTGTGTTCTTTTAATTAGTCTGATTAGACAGATGACGCTCATATCATCTCCCCCTTTTGCAATTATCCAGTTGTTTACCAGATACCTCAAGAAGTAGAGAATTCTGCCAAGCACAGCAGAGCGCCATGCTGACTGGTGGCATTCAACAATAAAGAAATCATAGCCACCCTAAGTCTACAGACTCCTTGAAATGAATCTAACAACATCTGACAGTTACCAGCCCTTCTCCTGCTACTGAGATGAATCCTATGGCCTCCACACCATAAGTTTCCATATCTATAGAATTAGTATATCTAAACTAAGGTAGTTTTTAGCCTCCATCAATTTCTTGATAATTTCTCATTTTGTTTTTTTTTTCTTTCTTTGAAGTTGGAGATCACATTTTTTGGTTGTATCCCTTTAAAAAGTGTGAATAAAATTTTGATGAGTACACCATTTTTCAGAGCAATTTACCCTTCAAGTAGTTTAAAAAGATGGAAATATATGTGTATATATACACACACCACCAAACACTGACAAACAGCCAAGTATCAGGGTTGTTAAATTTGTAACATTAAAATTAAAATTAATTAAATATTAAAAGCAATGGCAAAAATAGCAATTACTTTTGCACCGAACTAATCTTTTTTTGTTTAATGTATTTTTGTGTATCTGTGTACATTTGAACAAAAAGGCAAGACAAATTCAGTTTTCCTTGCTGATGTGATTTCTTATTTTTTTCCCTCCCCATCCAGAGGTACTTGCAGCTTTTCCTTTCCCTTCCTTCCTTCCTTCCTTCCTTCCTTCCTTCCTTCCTTCCTTCCTTCCTTCCTTCCTTCCTTCCTTCCCTCTCTCTCTCTCTCTCTCTCTCTTTCTTTCTCTTGTTCTTTTTTCAGAGTCTCACTTTGTTACCCAGGCTGGAGTACAGTTGGCATGACGCTCACTGCAACCTTTGCTGAGTTCAAGTGATTCTCGTGCGTCAGCCTCCCAAGTAGCTGGGATTACAGGCATGCAACACCATGCCTGGCTAACTTTTGTATTTTTAGTAGAGATGTGGTTTCGCCATGTTGGCCAGGCTGGTCTTGAACTCCTCGCCTCAAGTGATCTGCCTGCCTCAGCCTCCCAAAGTGCTGGGATTACAGATGTGAGCCACTGCGCCCAGCCAAATATAATTCCTTAAGCGTTGGTCTGTGAGCATCTAGGCTTCTTCATATGTGGATTTCTTTGTCCAAGTCATTAGCTCTAAGGTTATTTTAAGACTCTTGTTAATAAAGACCTATACCATACTGGAGCCTAACTATTTCAGGAAAAGGACTTAGAATCATAGCTTATAAGAAGACTCAGTTATTGTTCCAGTGACCCAAAGTTTTGTTTGTTTGTTGTGTGCGTGTGTGTGAAAATTTGGTTTGAAGACCTGAAGTCTTAAAAAGCAAATTAATCAAATTAAGGCACACCGTCTGCTTTCCAGCCCTCTCACTTGCAGCCCCATGCTAGTGACTTCAGTGGATAAATGAGAGAACGTGACTCAGGTTTTGGTTCTTCACTCCCCAAAGGAATTGTTTCGAACCTTAACCACGGCCCTCGAGCCCCATCACACTCCCTACTGCTGATTCTTCATGATCTCATCAAAAAGAGAATACTGACTTAGAACCCACACCGCTTCCTCTCTGCGGAACGTTCAAAGCCAGTACACTACATCCTAGCTGACGTTTCTGGCTCCGGCTCCTGTTGCACCTGCCCATGCCTGCGATACTTTGTCATACCCACAGAGCCAAGGTTTTTGCAAACACACGAACTTGGAGGTGAATGTCATTAAAGCAGGGACAGTTTCTCCAGTCTTCGGCTGCAGGCTTACCTCTCCCTGCTACCTCGCACCTGTTCTCATGCCTAATCTAGGCTACTTGTCTAAATCCTAAGAGTTCTGGCTTGCCTTAGTTCTAAACCAAGTCTCTAGAATTTCAAGGAAGCAATACTGATGTCCCATAGGAGGTTGGCTCAGCCTCTGGTAAGTGAATGAATGAATGAATGAATGAATAAAAAGAAGGAACAACAGAAATCAAGAAAGCAAGCCTAGCTGCTTTTTTTTTTTTTTTTTTTTTTTTTTTTTGAGACAGAGTCTTACACTGTCACCTGGGCTGGAGTGCAGTGGCGCAATCTCGGTTCACTGCAGCCTCTGCCTCCTGGGTTCAAGCAATTCTCTGCCCCAGTCTCCTGAGTGGCTAGGATTACAGGTGCCTGCCACCACGCCCAGCTAATGTTTGTATTTTTAGTAGAGACAGCATTTTACCATCTTGGCCAGGTTGGTCTTGAACTCCTGACCTCGTGATCTACCCACCTCAGCCTCCCAAAGTGCTGGGATTACATGCAGGAGCCACTGTGCCTGGCCACGTAGCTGCTTTTCAAAGAAGCCTGCCATATACAAATAGTGTACTTAAGCTGGTCCATCAAAATGCAGTTAATTTAGTGTTTTTATTTTTTTTACTTTTTATGCTGGATGAAAATACCCAAATCAAGAAAGGTCCAATCACAGCAAGATCTTTCCTCTTCACGACCTACGAGCTGGAATCCCATGCAAGTGGCCCAGAGGGCACCCAGTTCATGTAACACCAGAGTCAGCACTCAGTCTCTCTCCTGCATTCCCACCCCCACGTGACAGAGAGGAGAAGGCACTCACACCATGAGGAAGATGCCCCCGGTGTTGGAGACACAGCCTCGGGTGGTTGGGGTGGCATGCCTGTCATAGCCGCACATGCCACACAGTAAGCCCAGGTAGTAAAAAATCACGATGAGGGTCAGCAGAGAGCAGATGACCAGACCACCCAGCCACCTGGAGAGGAAAGCACAATGTTAGCAGACATGGCACAGGCGACGCCACTCTAACACAAAAGCTGCTGGACTAAGGCTGGAGCCGATGAGTTATTCTTGACCTTCTAAAATCAGAGTCTCCCATCAATTCCTCCGAGGGCAATAATGTTGGGTGAAAAGATCCCCTCCCACCCCTAATCCTCCAATTCAACCAACAGAGAAACGTTTATTTTCATCCTAGGTTTGCATTGTTCTCGTGGTCATGGTCATTGTTCTGCTTCCTTCCTTTGCCTTGACTCCTACAGGTGTCACACAGGGTTCATAAGCATGGCTCACGGAGCTTCTCCAAGGCTACTGATGAAAACGTGCTTAAGATTTTCACGTTCTTTTAAGGTTTCTGATGTTCTAAGTGCCTTTTATAATCTTGATGGCATATGGCTAGATCATCATTAGACTACAGATAAAGAAATACTGGACTACTTTCCCTGGCCTTTTTCCAAAATATTTTGTGGCTGCAGAAATCTTTGGGGCCACTGTGTTCTTTACTGAACCAGATTACGCGGCAGATGCATGGGGTGTTTAGAATTTTATGAGCATCCTAAATCAAATGCCTGCAGAATGCAAATCTCAATTTCATAATGGTCCTGCGAAACATCTTAGAATAATGGATCCTCAATTAGGTCTTACTGGCATTCCCGGAAGGTACAACAACCTTTCCCAGCAGCGAGAGGCATTCAAGGGTGGTAATGCTTCCCAACATTTAAGACACTAAAAAACCAAGAATTTACTTCTGGTGCCTCTTGACAAAAGTCGCCACTGAAGCTTTTCATTCAATTAAGAGCAATCTCAGTAATTATAGTAATAGCCACAGGCAGCCGTTCTGGGGAGGTTTGTTCCAGACAGTGAGGGCACAAAATTAAATAAACCATGGAGTCTGGCCTCAGAAAACTTTTAAAGAACCATCTTCTTAGTTCAGCTTCTTTTTAAGATAAGCTCACGGGGCGAGGGCAGGGGGAAAAGGAAGGGAGACGGATGGCAGTCAGGTAGACAGGTAATGGTACGTTTTCTTCCTGTTTGTGAAGCTCTGATGTCTAATGAGATTGTAAGCTCACTGAGAAAGGGCCTGCCTTCTGTTTGTCTCCTGAGACTTGCTGGGGTGGTCTAGTCCCACAAGGGAATCATGGCAGGTGCCAAGTGGAGCTTATTGTTTGTGGGGCAATGACAAAAAGCAGAGTTAGATGGAGCTTCAAAACCCACCTCTGCCATATGCTAGCTAGCCTTAAGCTTCTTCACTTCCCTGAGCCCATCTCCTTGTTATAAATGGAACACAACCCAGGGGAATTTTGTGAGCATTAAAAGAAATGTGTAAAACGTGCTTGGTGGGCACACTGAAACTGACACTGAAACCGTCCCCTAAATGGTAGCAATTGTATTATTTACTTATCTTATGGTCTTGTATAAGAAATAATCCACATGAGAACAAGTCTCTGGACTCCCCATGGGCTTGGGAGTTACAAAGGGTTTAGTGACAGGTCATGGGGCTGAGCTCTTCCGAGAGACAAGTGCATCTTACATAACAGATGATCCTCTAAATTTCTCCAAGTCCCTCCCTCCCCAGGGCTCTGGCTGGGATGTCCACCACCCTCACCCAGGGCCACACCCCTCCACTCACATTTTCTAATGGAACAACCAGTGGGCACTACAGTCACTCACCTAAGCTCTGGGAGCAATTCACTAGTTTCAAGGAACAGCTAAGAAAAGGATGCTCCTTCTTTTGGTTGGTTGGTAAGAACCAACCTCTGCATATTTATTTTATAAACCAATGTGAAAAGAATATTTTCCAAATGTCCTTCTTGATTACTTTTAAGCTTTAAAATCTCATTACATGTCTGGTTTGATAATTATAACTAATATTCTAGAAACCACTAATGATATCAAAGTTATAAATTATCAAATATTTGGCTCATGAAGGTCCAGTCTTCAACTTAAAATGAAGGTGGAATGCTTTACAAATTTTCATATCATCTGTACACAGGAGTCATGCTAACCTCTGTATTGTTCCAGTTTTAGCATATGTGCTGTCTGGTCAGAGCAAGCACTTCAACTTTTTTAATGAACATAAACTGGGGTTAACACATATCAGGTCATGGCCTCTTGCACAATTTGCTCTCATAAGATTATCTTGAGCTAATGTCAGATTTTTATCTCGTTCTCTATAGAGTTCACTCTCATAGTTCACCAGCTCCAAGGAGACACTCACCAGTATGAATCATACTCTTCCCATGTGGGTAAATGTCTTTGCATGTAACTTTCGGTGTTATTAAGGTAACCAGAGAATTCTGAGAGTATATCCTGAATAGGAAGACGCTGAGTTACATTGTTGATATCTGAACCAATGGAATTCAAGACCCTTTTGATACCTGAAAACAAAGATGCCTTTGTTATGCATTTGCAAACATGGAGGAAATGGAAACTTTGTTTTGGAACCCAACAGAAAAGCCTGAACCACTTTTAATATTTCCCATGTTATGTATGTGTTTAAAATATGGTAAGATTTTACAACAAGCACAACATAGCCAAGACCACCGAAAAGCAATTACTTAACAAAACAGCAAGCTGTGAGTGCCGACTTTAATGAGATGGTGCTGAAGTCAAGCCAGTTTCCTTTTTCTCCTTACTTTATTTAAAGTAGATCAAGTGATTAAAATGTATGGTGTGCAGACTATGTGCCAGGCACTTTTATAAACGGTAACGCATTTATTCTACTGAGGTAGATATTCTCATTCCTCATTTTACTAACAGTGACGCTGAGGCTCACAGAGATTCAATTAATTGCCCATGGGTCTTTTTAAAAAGGCTCTGGTAATGGGATTGAAACTCAGGTGTCTCTGACTCTAAAGCCCCTGTGACATGCTTTTGGGAAAATAAATAATAATTCCTCCATCTAAGAAATGATATTCGGGGCTGGGCACAATGGCTCACACCTGTAATCCCAGCACTTTGGGAGTCCAAAGTGGGAGGATCACCTGAGGTCAGAAGTTCAAGACCAGCCTGACCAATACGGCAAATCCCATCTCTTCTAACAATACAAAAATTAGTCAGGTGTGGTGGCACAAGGCTGTAACTCCAGCTACTCAGGAGGCTGGGGCAGGAGAACTACATCAACCCAGGAGGCGGAGGTTGCAGTGAGCTGAAATCGTGCCATTGTATTCTAGCCTGGGCAACACAGCAAGACTTCCTCTCAAAAACAAAACAAAAAAATGCATTCAGGAACAGAGTAATTCTCCAGGCCCATTAAAAAATAAAACAAACAAAAAACCCAAGTGAATCTGGGTGATATTTTTGTTAAAATTCTACCTGAACAGATACAAATTGAGACTTCTTAGGAAGTACGTCTGTGTCTTTTCTATGTAAAAATCGGTAGTAGTCTCAGTGGCCAAACAGTTTCTTTTGCTCTCAGTCCTAATTTCTCAGACAGGAGTTAAGTTCAAAGAAAACCAATTTTCTGGAAAGTGTCCATCACAACAGGTCCTAAAAATCAAACTCACCTGGGGTGCAGGGTTTCACCTGAACCAATGCTCACACGAGTTCTGAAGCTGGCTTTATCCAAGTGATTCTTTTTTTTTCCAAGTGATTCTTGATACAGACATACTAAGAACACACTAATCAGTTAAAAGTCTACTGATCCTGCAAGAGAGGTAAATCTCTTTGCAGCAGCAGAGACAAGATTAGCAGTTCTCGAAATGTTAACCTAATGCTCCCAGTGAACTTCAGGTAGAGGGTAGAGATGATAGCTTGGTCCAAAATGTAATCACATAAACATGGCAGGAAACTTTTTGTTTTCCTTTTGAGACAGGATCTCACTGCATTGCCCAGGCTGGAGTGCAGTGGCACGATCATGGCTCACTGTAGCCTCAACCTCCTGGGCTCAGGTATCCTTCCATCTCAGCCTCCCAAGTAGCTGGGTCTACAGGTGTGTACCACCATGCTTAGATAATGTTTTATGATTTTATTTTTTGTAGAGATGGGGAAGTGGAATATCACCACATTGCCCAGGCTGGTCTTGAGCTCCTGGGCTCAAGTTATCTTCCCGCCTCAGCATCCCAAAGTGCTGGGATTATAGGAGTGAGCCACCACACCCGGCCCTGGAAACTCCTTAAAGTTTGTTTTCCACATAGCTGTGACATCTAGAGATCAAAGACACAGAAGGGAGCAACAGAGTGCCTTCTCCAAATGGCTCATGTGAAAACACCTGAAGATCCTTGGCCAAAATGACTCAGTGGGTCTCTTGGTTACTTCTGAGATTTTGAGATCGGGAATGTCACCTTCCCATCTTCTAGGAGCAGCTCGTAGGGCCCCGGCCTGCTTCTCAGCCTGGCTTGCCCTCACGCACAACATGACTCTGAGACCTTGCTGCTCTGACGACTCTCTAAGTGGTTGGTGCCCTCCCTCAGCATCTACCCTCTTCAAGCCTCTCTCCATGTCCCCTTTTCCAGGCAGCCTCCCACTAGCATCTCCTCACCTCATTTCCCTGGCACATACCTGATCACGGTGCCAGAGTGTGACAACGTGCTTGCGTGCACATGGCTGGCTAAAGGACAGGCAGAATTCACATCTTATGCATATCATAGCCCGGTGCCTCGCAGAGCCTGGCACACAGTCAGCACTAAGTAATTTGTTCAGGTTGGGATGAGACAACCTAAATACGAGAGCTAAGGACATGAAAGTAAACTCCTGCTATCCAGGCTGACAGAGTGGCACTGGCCCGGTCCTAGGAAAATGCTGGCTTGTGCTCAAGCATGACCCCATGCACCATGGGCCACACTCACGCGTGCAGCACACTTTGCTGCATCAGACTTACAAGGAAGGGCTGCACGTATGGGCAGGAGAGGTCCAGAGAGGGGAAACCGAAAATTAAACACAGACATTAGTGAGCAGATGGCTGTCTGATGTATAGCATGCATCAGCCTTCAGACATTAGCACACGAAAGTCTGAACCCTGTCCTTAGTATCTTAATATTTTTAAGTAGACTCTTGTATTATACAAAAGGAAACCCACAAAACATCTAAACAGTTATGTAGCAGGATAAAACACTTTTTTTTACTCAAACTCTTCATAGGTCAGAAAACACCATTAGGGAAAAATAATCAAATATCTCTAACATAATATCTTAAAACCACTTACCAGATAAAAAGTAGCACTAAAATGATTTTTACAAAGAAATAAATGATAGCCTTACACAGCTTCAGTGTAAAGCTATCATTTTTCTTTTCTTTTCTTTTTTTCTTTTTTTTTTTTTTTGAGAGGGAGTCTGGCTCTGTCACCCAGACTGGAGTGCAACTCAGTGCCGTGATCTCAGCTCACTGCAACCTCCATCTCCTGGGTTCAAGCAATTCTCTGCCTCAGCCTCCCAAGTAGCTGGGGTTACAGGCATGCGCCACCACGCCCGGCTAATTTTTGGTATTTTTAGTAAAGACAGGGCTTCGCCATGCTGGCCAGGCTGGTCTCAAACTCCTGACATCAAGTGACCTACCTGACTTGGCCTCCCAAAGTGCTGGGATTACAGGCGTGAGGCACCGCGCCCAGCCCAGAAATTTCTTCTCCAAGCAAATAACCCAGGTTGTTTCCATCCCTGCACAAAGAACTGCTTCTACTGCATTCTCTCCCACCGTATGTTCACCCCAAACCCCATAACCTGAATGCAGCATGATTCAGTAATCTAGCAGAATCCTCTCCACATTGATTCTGTCTCTCCAAAATTGTAAGCAACCTTAGGAGCCTAAAATACTATTACATCAGCATCAGTGGACAGATTAAAATCTTCCTAATAGACAAAATAAGTTTTTTTGCATAGCATTCCTTTAAAAAGTTTGATTTTAAGTTTGTCTAGAAAATACAATAATCTACAGTTTTTTCTTTAGTGAAAATCAGAATGAGTTTCCAAACTGTGGCTGCCGTAGGATCTGAAGGCACACACTCTGGGAACCTGGAGCACGCCGTGGCCCTCAACCATGTGGCAGCTGCCGGCAGGGCTGGATGATGATCATCAGTGTTCAGTAACAGGTTTGTTCTTGTTTTTAAATCAATGTCACTGAATGAAGTGACGTGATTCCAAAGCTCTGATATTCATTTAGTTTTGATGGTTTTAATGTGAAACTGTTTTTTTTTTTTTTTAAGAGGAAAAGAACAATGCAATACTTGGTAATACATTTCTCCACACTGACCTTCCAATCAGAGAGACACAAAATCACCTCAAATTGTGAATCTCACCTGCTACGACAGACGTGGTTTGGCTTTGTACTCTGTCAGGTATATCATTAAGGGATTGATAGTCCTGAAAAAGATTTCAAAATAAATGGATGTATACAGAAAGTTGAAGACTAGTTGACTAGTCACTCATTTTGCAACTTGGTATGAGTAGAGAAGTGAAATAAAAATACAACATTCATCATAAGGCTGAAATGATCATTATATGGCCATCAAGAACCTAAAAGAATCCCCTTTAGAGAGCATTGTCTTTAAATTATTTTAAAGATCATGTTAGCAGTCAGTCACATAGAGCGGCCCCATAATTTTAAAATCAGCATATTTACAAAGAGCCTGGGAACTATGATGGGTACATACATTTATACCAGTGGTTCTCAACTAGGAGAAATTTTGTTCTCAACTGGGGTACGTTTGGCAAAGTCTAAACACATTTTGGTTATCGCAGTTGTGGGGTGCTGCTGGCGCTGTGTGGGTGGAGAACAAGGATGCTAACGAATACCCCACCATGCACAGGAGAGCCCCCACCACTAAGAGGCATGCAAGGTGTCAGCAGTGCTGAGGTTAAGAGACCCTGATCAGTACAATATGCCACGTGCAGACAGAAAGTGAATTTCTAAAAACAGAATGTTGGTCTCTAATTAAATATAAAATTAGAGGCTGGGCACGGTGGCTCATGCCTGTAATCTCAGCACATTGGGAGGCCGAGGTGGGCGAATCACCTGAATTGAGTTCAAGACCAGCCTGACCAACACGGAGAAACCCAGTCTCTACTAAAAAAATACAAAAATTAGCCAGTGGTGCATGTGTGTAATACCAGCTACTCAGGAGGCT